ATCGTGGAGCGCTGGCTGTGGCAGCAGCGCCGGCTGCGCCGGCAGGACCTGGGCCGGGCTGAGTTCCTGCGTGAGGTTTGGCGCTGGAAGGAGCGGTGAGGGGACACCGGGGACCTTGGGGACACCTCGGGGACACCTCGGGGACACCTTGGGGACGTCCCCGGGGGGTGGCCCCGCGGTGTCACCGCCCTGTCCCCTCCAGGCACGGGGACGAGATCCTGCAGCAGCTGCGGGCGCTCGGGGCCTCGCTGGACTGGAGCCGCTGCGCCTTCACCATGGACCCCGTCAGTGTCCCCAAGTGTCCCCAAACTGTCCCCAGGGGTCACTGGGCTGTCCCCAGGGGTCACTGAGCTGTCCCTAAGTGTCCCCAAGTGTCCTAATGCTCTCCAGGTGTTCCAATCTGGCCCCAAGGTGTTCCCAACTATCCCTGAAGCATCCCAGAATTGTCCCCAAAGTGTCCCCAAGGGTCACTGAGCTGTCCCCAAACTGTCCCCAGGGGTCACTGGGCTGTCCCAAGTGTCCCCAAGTGTCCTGGCCATCCCCAGGTGTTCCAGTCTGGCTCTAGAACGGTCCTAGCTCTCCTCAAAGCATCCCAGAGTTGTCCCCAACTGTCCTCAGGGGTCACTGGGCTGTCCCCAGATGTCCCCAAGGATCTCTGAGGGTCACTGAGCTGTCCCCAAAGTGTCCCCAAGTGTCCTGGCTGTCCCCAGGTGTTCTAATCTGGCCCCAAAGTGTTCCTAACTGTCCCCAAAGCACTCTGAGCTGTCCCCAAACTGTCACCAGACTGTCCCCAAGTGTCCCCTGCTGTCCCCAGGTGTCCCCAGAGTGTCCCCAGGGTGTCCCCACGTGTCTCCAAATGTCCCCAGGGTGCCCCAAACCTCCCCGAACTCCCCCAAACTTGTCCCCAACTCTCCTGAACTGCCTCGTGCTGTCCCCAAACCTCCCTGTGCTGTCCCCAAAGTGTCCCCAGAGTGTCCCCAAGCGTCCCCTCCGTGTCCCCAGGGCTTCTCCCGCGCTGTCACCGAGGCCTTCGTGCGGCTCTTCCGGGCGGGGCTGATCCGGCGCGACCAGCGGGTGGTGACGTGGAGCTGCGCCCTGCGCTCGGCGCTGGCCGACGTCGAGGTGTCCCCAAATGTCCCCAACGTCCCCAATGTCCCCAGTGTCACCTGGAGCTGCGCCCTGCGCTCGGCGCTGGCCGACGTCGAGGTGTCCCCAAATGTCCCCAAGGGTGTCCCCTGGGGGCTCTGACACAGCCTGGCCGACGTCGAGGTGTCCCCAAATGTCCCCAAGGGTGTCCCCAATGTCCCCAAGGGTGTCCCCAATGTCCCCAGTGTCACCTGGAGCTGTGCCCTGCGCTCGGCGCTGGCCGACGTCGAGGTGTCCTCAGTGTCCCCAATGTCCCCAGTGTCACCTGGAGCTGCGCCCTGTGCTCGGCGCTGGCCGACATCGAGGTGCCCCCGATGTCCCCAAATGTCCCCAATGTCCCCAAGGGTGTCCCCTGGGGGCTGTGACCCAGCCTGGCCCAGGGATGTCCCCAATGTCCCCAATGTGTCCCCGATGTCCCCAGGCCATCGTGGAGCGCTGGCTGTGGCAGCACCGGTGGCTGTCCCCAATGTCCCCAGGGATGTCCCCAATGTCCCCAATGTGTCCCCGATGTCCCCAGGCCATCGTGGAGCGCTGGCTGTGGCAGCACCGGTGGCTGTCCCCAATGTCCCCAGGGATGTCCCCAATGTCCCCAATGTGTCCCCGATGTCCCCAGGCCATCGTGGAGCGCTGGCTGTGGCAGCACCGGTGGCTGTCCCCAATGTCCCCAGGGATGTCCCCAATGTCCCCAATGTGTCCCCGATGTCCCCAGGCCATCGTGGAGCGCTGGCTGTGGCAGCACCGGTGGCTGTCCCCAATGTCCCCAGGGATGTCCCCAATGTCCCCAATGTGTCCCCGATGTCCCCAGGCCATCGTGGAGCGCTGGCTGTGGCAGCACCGGTGGCTGTCCCCAATGTCCCCAGGGATGTCCCCAATGTCCCCAATGTGTCCCCGATGTCCCCAGGCCATCGTGGAGCGCTGGCTGTGGCAGCACCGGTGGCTGTCCCCAATGTCCCCAGGGATGTCCCCAATGTCCCCAATGTGTCCCCGATGTCCCCAGGCCATCGTGGAGCGCTGGCTGTGGCAGCACCGGTGGCTGTCCCCAATGTCCCCAGGGATGTCCCCAATGTCCCCAATGTGTCCCCGATGTCCCCAGGCCATCGTGGAGCGCTGGCTGTGGCAGCACCGGTGGCTGTCCCCAATGTCCCCAGGGATGTCCCCAATGTCCCCAATGTGTCCCCGATGTCCCCAGGCCATCGTGGAGCGCTGGCTGTGGCAGCACCGGTGGCTGTCCCCAATGTCCCCAGGGATGTCCCCAATGTCCCCAATGTGTCCCCGATGTCCCCAGGCCATCGTGGAGCGCTGGCTGTGGCAGCACCGGTGGCTGTCCCCAATGTCCCCAGGGATGTCCCCAATGTCCCCAATGTGTCCCCGATGTCCCCAGGCCATCGTGGAGCGCTGGCTGTGGCAGCACCGGTGGCTGTCCCCAATGTCCCCAGGGATGTCCCCAATGTCCCCAATGTGTCCCCGATGTCCCCAGGCCATCGTGGAGCGCTGGCTGTGGCAGCACCGGTGGCTGTCCCCAATGTCCCCAGGGATGTCCCCAATGTCCCCAATGTGTCCCCGATGTCCCCAGGCCATCGTGGAGCGCTGGCTGTGGCAGCACCGGTGGCTGTCCCCAATGTCCCCAGGGATGTCCCCAATGTCCCCAATGTGTCCCCGATGTCCCCAGGCCATCGTGGAGCGCTGGCTGTGGCAGCACCGGTGGCTGTCCCCAATGTCCCCAGGGATGTCCCCAATGTCCCCAATGTGTCCCCGATGTCCCCAGGCCATCGTGGAGCGCTGGCTGTGGCAGCACCGGTGGCTGTCCCCAATGTCCCCAGGGATGTCCCCAATGTCCCCAATGTGTCCCCGATGTCCCCAGGCCATCGTGGAGCGCTGGCTGTGGCAGCACCGGTGGCTGTCCCCAATGTCCCCAGGGATGTCCCCAATGTCCCCAATGTGTCCCCGATGTCCCCAGGCCATCGTGGAGCGCTGGCTGTGGCAGCACCGGTGGCTGTCCCCAATGTCCCCAGGGATGTCCCCAATGTCCCCAATGTGTCCCCGATGTCCCCAGGCCATCGTGGAGCGCTGGCTGTGGCAGCACCGGTGGCTGTCCCCAATGTCCCCAGGGATGTCCCCAATGTCCCCAATGTGTCCCCGATGTCCCCAGGCCATCGTGGAGCGCTGGCTGTGGCAGCACCGGTGGCTGTCCCCAATGTCCCCAGGGATGTCCCCAATGTCCCCAATGTGTCCCCGATGTCCCCAGGCCATCGTGGAGCGCTGGCTGTGGCAGCACCGGTGGCTGTCCCCAATGTCCCCAGGGATGTCCCCAATGTCCCCAATGTGTCCCCGATGTCCCCAGGCCATCGTGGAGCGCTGGCTGTGGCAGCACCGGTGGCTGTCCCCAATGTCCCCAGGGATGTCCCCAATGTCCCCAATGTGTCCCCGATGTCCCCAGGCCATCGTGGAGCGCTGGCTGTGGCAGCACCGGTGGCTGTCCCCAATGTCCCCAGGGATGTCCCCAATGTCCCCAATGTGTCCCCGATGTCCCCAGGCCATCGTGGAGCGCTGGCTGTGGCAGCACCGGTGGCTGTCCCCAATGTCCCCAGGGATGTCCCCAATGTCCCCAATGTGTCCCCGATGTCCCCAGGCCATCGTGGAGCGCTGGCTGTGGCAGCACCGGTGGCTGTCCCCAATGTCCCCAGGGATGTCCCCAATGTCCCCAATGTGTCCCCGATGTCCCCAGGCCATCGTGGAGCGCTGGCTGTGGCAGCACCGGTGGCTGTCCCCAATGTCCCCAGGGATGTCCCCAATGTCCCCAATGTGTCCCCGATGTCCCCAGGCCATCGTGGAGCGCTGGCTGTGGCAGCACCGGTGGCTGTCCCCAATGTCCCCAGGGATGTCCCCAATGTCCCCAATGTGTCCCCGATGTCCCCAGGCCATCGTGGAGCGCTGGCTGTGGCAGCACCGGTGGCTGTCCCCAATGTCCCCAGGGATGTCCCCAATGTCCCCAATGTGTCCCCGATGTCCCCAGGCCATCGTGGAGCGCTGGCTGTGGCAGCACCGGTGGCTGTCCCCAATGTCCCCAGGGATGTCCCCAATGTCCCCAATGTGTCCCCGATGTCCCCAGGCCATCGTGGAGCGCTGGCTGTGGCAGCACCGGTGGCTGTCCCCAATGTCCCCAGGGATGTCCCCAATGTCCCCAATGTGTCCCCGATGTCCCCAGGCCATCGTGGAGCGCTGGCTGTGGCAGCACCGGTGGCTGTCCCCAATGTCCCCAGGGATGTCCCCAATGTCCCCAATGTGTCCCCGATGTCCCCAGGCCATCGTGGAGCGCTGGCTGTGGCAGCACCGGTGGCTGTCCCCAATGTCCCCAGGGATGTCCCCAATGTCCCCAATGTGTCCCCGATGTCCCCAGGCCATCGTGGAGCGCTGGCTGTGGCAGCACCGGTGGCTGTCCCCAATGTCCCCAGGGATGTCCCCAATGTCCCCAATGTGTCCCCGATGTCCCCAGGCCATCGTGGAGCGCTGGCTGTGGCAGCACCGGTGGCTGTCCCCAATGTCCCCAGGGATGTCCCCAATGTCCCCAATGTGTCCCCGATGTCCCCAGGCCATCGTGGAGCGCTGGCTGTGGCAGCACCGGTGGCTGTCCCCAATGTCCCCAGGGATGTCCCCAATGTCCCCAATGTGTCCCCGATGTCCCCAGGCCATCGTGGAGCGCTGGCTGTGGCAGCACCGGTGGCTGTCCCCAATGTCCCCAGGGATGTCCCCAATGTCCCCAATGTGTCCCCGATGTCCCCAGGCCATCGTGGAGCGCTGGCTGTGGCAGCACCGGTGGCTGTCCCCAATGTCCCCAGGGATGTCCCCAATGTCCCCAATGTGTCCCCGATGTCCCCAGGCCATCGTGGAGCGCTGGCTGTGGCAGCACCGGTGGCTGTCCCCAATGTCCCCAGGGATGTCCCCAATGTCCCCAGGGATGTCCCCACAGATGTCCCCAATGTCCCCACTGTCCCC